AGACCAATTTCAAAACTGCCTTTTACTGCAAAGATTCTAGAAAGAATTGTGTCCAAACAGCTGCTCACTGTGCTGGAAAATAACAAAATATTTGAAAAGTTTCAGTCTGGTTTTAGGAAGTACCACAGCACTGAGACTGCCCTGCTTAAAGTCACCAATGACCTTTTAATGTCTGCTGATGAAGGTATGTGCTCAGTCCTTGTACTCCTGGACCTTAGCGCTGCTTTTGACACCATTGATCACAACATCATGTTAGACAGACTGAGGCACTGGGTGGGGATCTCTGGTACTGCTCTAGAATGGTTTTCATCCTACCTGTCAAATAGGAAGTTTTGCGTGTCTGTAAACAACTATGTCTCTTCATTCTGTCCAGTTAAATATGGTGTGCCTCAGGGGTCGGTCTTAGGACCCATTTTGTTTTCCTTGTATCTGCTTCCCCTTGGACATATTATCCATAAACATGGCATTTCTTTTCATATTTATGCTGATGACACACAAATATACTTGCCCGTCAGATCCACAGACCCTGGAATGCTGAGTTCACTTAACAACTGCCTTTGTGAAGTTAAAAAATGGATGTCAAATAATTTCCTCCAGCTGAACTCAGACAAAACAGAAATCCTGGTCATCGGGTCCCAGCAGATGGCAAATCAAATACTGCCATCTGCTGGTTCCCTAGTAAATCACATTAAGCCTGTGGCAAAGAACCTTGGTGTTTGGTTTGATAGTAATTTAAATTTCGAGCAGCACACCACAAAGCTTGTTCAATCATGTTTTTATCAACTTAGAAATATAGCTAAAATTCGATCTATGTTAACTTTTAAGGACACCGAGACCATTTTACACGCTTCATCTCATCACGCCTGGATTATTGCAACAGCCTTTTCACCTGTTTAACCCAAAAATCTATTGATCGACTCCAGACTGTCCAGAACTCAGCTGCCAGGCTTTTAACCAGAACAAAGAAATATGACCACATTACTCCTATTTTAGCTTCATTACACTGGCTCCCAGTATGTTTTAGAATTGACTTTAAAATTCTATTGATCACTTTTAAAGCTCTTCATGGCCTCTCGCCTTGTTATATTTCTGACCTTTTAGTCCCATACGCACCAGCACGTACCTTGAGATCCTCGGGCAGAGGTCTGTTGTCTGTTCCAGAGTCTCGACTGAAAACTAAAGGGGACAGAGCGTTTGCTGTCAGGGCCCCGAGGCTCTGGAACAGCCTGCCCGAGGAAATCAGGTCGGCTGAGTCAGTGAACTCTTTTAAGTCCCTTCTTAAAACATACTTTTATAGGAGAGCTTTTCCCGATCTTATTTGACTTTTTTATCCCTTTTATTTTATTGTATTTTACTAATTTTATATTAAATTTTCATGCTCTTATCTTTTTTTTGTATTATTCTTTACACTTGTTAAAGCACTTTGTAACTTGTTTTTGAAAAGTGCTCTACAAATAAGGATTATTATTATTATTATTAAATTATGTTATTCTTTTATTAATTATGTTATACGGTTGCGTTTTAATGGTGTCAGATTATACATGTATAACTTTTAAAAAATATGGTGAGACTGAAGTTGAAACATAATGGTGAATTTCTAATCCAGTAATGTTGAAAATATAAAAGGTTAAATTACAATGATAAATTCTGTGACTCTGGTAACTTTGAAAATAGAGAAAGGGTTAAATTGGTAAAACAGTACATGCAAACGGCCACAAGATGGCAGTAGATAAGAAATTCACCATTGGGAAGGGAGTGGTCAGCGTACACAAAGGTGGAGACTGTTATACCCACCTGAAGGGTGGGGTTTAAGGTGAATATAAGGCGATGTTCGCTGATCACCGGATCAGTTCCATCCTGAGACCTGCAGGGATGTTACTCGAGTTTACCTGTCCTTAATTGGAATAAACTCTTTTGCACCGACTCTTCGTCGACTCGTCTCCAGAGAAGTTTTTGACAACGAAGTTTTTGACTGTAGAAGAACGCTAATAGAGTATTATTAACAGAGTTTAATAAGTTGGTGATGGTAAGGACCAGGCCTTCAAATGGCCCATCCTGGCCTTATCTTCGAACCAACAGTTCCTTGTGGATTATTCTCTCGTTTGGATTTTTGGACTTAGTTGCAATAAACCTCACCTACTCTCCAGTTTCGTCTCAGTGTCTGCACTTGGGTCCTAACCTCTGTCTCCAGCATTCAGCCCAGTCAGCTGAACGTAACATTTGTTTATTTATTTGTCTTGTTTGTTTTTGTTTGCAACCCGCTCTACCTCAGGAGGTAGAGCGGGTTGGCCGTTAATCGGAAGGTCGGTGGTTCGATCCCCGGCTCCCCCTGGTTGTGTGTCGAAGTGTCCTTGGGCAAGATACTGAACCCCGATTTGCCCCTGGCGGCTGTTCCGCCAGTGTATGAATGTGTGTGAATGCTAGTTTCCATTTGAGCACTTAGGCTCAGTGTATGAATGTGTATGACTGGTGAATGCAGATGTAGTGTAAAAGCGCTTTGAGTGGTCGAAAAGACTAGAAAGGCGCTATACAAGTACGGAGCATTTACTCTAAGTTGACTAACTCTGAATTAAGCGCGTGCACCACAACTATAAAAAGCCATTATCAATGGAGCGCAGATATTATGAGTCACCATGGCAACAGCGTCAGACAAAAAGAGGTCATATTTCTCCCCAGCAGAACTGGATGTGTTTATGCAAGCATATGGAGAATTTGAACACGTATTTCTTTTAAAAAGCAACACGGCTGCAGCAGCGAAGGACAGAGTGTTAGCCTGGGAGAAAATAGCTGCTCGAGTCAATGCGTAAGTTTACATTTGAATGACTTTTATACAGTGTTGGGTGTAATTAATTACTAAGTAATCTAAATACTGTAATTTAATTAAAGACTATAAAACAATTATTTATAAAACAATAGTGGATTTAACATCAAATTTTAAAAGGTATATTTTTAATGTAACCTTCTCTTCTCTCTTTTCTTGTCTCTCGTTATTGTTGAAGTGGTTGAGGTTGATTTGGGATTTAGAAAGTAATTAATAAGTTAGTAGACCAAATTAGTAAGTAGACCAATACTTTGTAGAGATAGTAATTATTACATTAATCTAATTAGACTTGTTGAAGATGTAATTTGTAGTTAGTAATTAAGAACTATTTTAGACTGTTATAACCCAACTGTCATAATATCAGAGGTATTTTATTAAACATATTAATTTAATTTTCATGTATAGGTTCAATCCTGCAGGCATTAAAAGAACGTGGCAGCAGCTGAAAATGAAATATAAAAACATAATTCAATCAGGTAAGCCTTTACAAACATTTGACATACTAAATGACTAAACGGCATTCAGTGTCTAGCAGTGCAGCAGCATTTTTGACATAGGTCTAAATGTTCATTCTCATTTGACTACTCAGCCAACAGAAAAAAGACAGAGGCTCGCAAAACGGGGGGAGGACCTGCACCACCACCTCTGACAAATGCAGAGGAGATGGCCTTGAGCCTGAATGCAGGAAGGCCAATGGCTGAGGGAATTCCTGGAGGGACTTCATCAGAGCAAGTCACTCCAGAAGATTTAAGTGCCTTCACAAAATGTAAGAGGTCTACCTACAGTACGTGTTATTTTTTATATAGCCTATTTGCGATATTTCCATTTATATTACTTTGAATTGGGTTTTTCGTTGGTCCCAACAGATTCGGATGTGTGTCTCTTGGAGCCTCCTGTCCCAACAGAACCCCAGGCAGTTGTAAGTAGCCTACTCAATACACCATAAATTATGACAAATAGTATTATAAAGTGTACTTTCTGAAATGCTCATCTTCACAGGATGATGGGGATGAAGAAACCGTTTCTGCTGCCACAGACAGGCCTACAGAGGTAATGTTAATATTATGTGTCTACACATCAAACAATCTACACATTCACATTTATTCACATTTTTATGTGGAGTAGCCTATAGAATCTAATTTTATATCTATAAATGGTCATTCTTATCTCTACCCCCCAGAGTGTGGAAGAACAGCAGGAGGAAGGCCCATCAACTTCTGGTGCACAGATGAACACAGTTCAGTCATTTACAGTAAATGCCACAGTTTAATTCTGAATTTTAGAACTACATGATGTAACTCTAATCTACTATTAATTAAAAATTAGAGTTATATAGACTTCTTCTTATTAAAAAGATAGAAAAAAACAGCAGAGACCTTGTATACTTGGACTGCTAGATCCAAAAGGCAGATCTGGAAATCCAGATTCTAAAACAAAAGCTAGAGGTGAGTGTGTGGTGACAGGTGAATTCTAGGAAGTATTGAAACTATATTAAAATCTACTAAACTTTTTTCTTTTTTGTAGGAAATGAAGAACACCATATAAATTGCTGTGATTTTGTGTTTATTCGTTTTTGTTTTTTTGTTTTTGTGGTGGTGGATATCATGATTAATCTGAGAAGACATTGCGGCATATCATATCCCGGACTACCCTTCCATCCTGGAAATCTGCAGGGTTGATGGGGTCTTCCTCATGCTCTTGTAATTGTAGGGCAGGGTGTTGCTCCCCTCTTTTATTATTATGGCAATCTGTTGCTCAGGGTTGACTCCCGATACATTCGTGAGTCATGAACAGAGCCGGGCCACTTGGCTCCGTATTTGTGATTGTGTGTGCAGCATCACATATGATCTTGACAGTGCAAAGAATGAGAGATGTTACAGTATTGTGATGTAGTCTTTGACCATTAGAAACAGTAGGCTGTCAGTGTACCTGCACATTAATACTGTGGATGGATCTTCTGTTGACATAGTCCGCTTCATTTTCAGAAGGTGCAATGATCAGAATATGTGTGCCATCAATGCATCCAAACACATTCGGAAATCCTAAAGGGAATTCTGATTATTAGGTTACTTCCAGGGGTCGCAGCAAGATATTCTTAACTGAATGTCATTTATCAGGTTAGCCTCATTTAAACCGATTTATACACCACTGACCTGCAATCCTGTGAAACTCCTCTTTGATGACTCTCACTGGTTTGTGCTCAGGAAACAACACAAATATTCTCAGAAAGCACTTAAGAGCGAGGCACACTTTCCTTACCGCAAACAGTAGCCTTACTAATATGTTCTGCATCCCCGATGTTATACAGAAAACTACCATTTGCAAAGAAACGTAAGGCAACGCAAAGCATCTGCTCGGATGAGAGCACAGCCGCGATGGTTGATGTTTCTGATGTAAGGATGGATGAGATTATGGATGTATCTTACTGACTATAAAGAAAAACGGTACCGCACAAATGAAAATGCATAGGGATATGACAAAAAATCCACTCTGGGCCTCAAAATCCTCTCCCGACGTAAATGTTACTCCCTAAGAATTAATACAGCCTCTTCATCAACAGGATCGTCCATAAAGGACATGCCATTTCATTCCCTTTGATGCTCTCTGCGTGTGTGCGCAATGAATGAATGTACTGCAGCGCGGCGCGGTGGTGCAGTGGTTAGCACTGTCGCCTCACAGCAATAAGGTCGTGGGTCAAACCCCGGTCGCCCTGGCCTTTCTGTGTGGAGTTTGCATGTTCTCCCCGTGTCCGCGTGGGTTCTCTCCGGGTGCTCTGACCATCCTCCCACCATCCAAAGAGGCTAGGTTAATTGTCCTTAGGTGTGAGTGTGAGTGTGACTGGTTGTCTGTCTATGTGTGGCCCTGCGATGGACTGGGGACCTGTCCAGGGTGTACCCTGCTTTTCGCCCGATGTCAGCTGGGATTGGCTTCAGGATAACGCAGGATAAGCGGTTAGATAAGCTGGAGAGATTCTCAACCAGAATACAGAAAAGAGAGATGGCTGCCGTCAGGGGCTGTAACCGGCGGGTCAGTGCGCATGTGTGATTGATAGATAAAGCACTAGAACACCCAAAGGGCCAATTTTGCTGGATAAGGAAGACATTTACTTTTGGCAAATTTTGCTACTAAGACTTCAGTCCATTTTCTTTTAAGTGAGAATGTGATGTACTTTTTCCACAACTGTACTTCAGTATGTCAATATTATTAGAACATTACACATTGTGTGATAGTTAGCTGTACCATTTTAGGTTTATACAGTGATGCCTTAGTCTGCTGTGTGATGTATAAGGCTTAATATGAAATGCTTCAAATGGTAGGGTAGTGGGGTAAAATTGATTTAAAGGACAAAAAAGGTTTAGCCTGGCTCTGATGTTGTGATTTGTTACAGTACAGTACAGTGAGGCATGGGATTACATTCCGCTTGTAAGAAGTGTAATCCCAGCTAATCTGGGATTCAGTTTCACACTGCACTTTGGACACAGCCTCAGTCTAGAGAAGACTGGGAATATGGAGATACAAAGACCCTACCTGAGTACAAGTTTTTTCTGATGAAGGATGTATCTGCTTGTCCTCGTTCACATCTTGCAGTCCACTCTGTTGGCCGTCCACTCCTGTCCAGCTTTATGTGCCTGCACATATGGGAACAGTGGAATAGCAGAGTTCAGGTTAAGATCATTCTTATCTTTGTGTGTTTGTATGTGCAAGTGATTTGTTCCTGCATGAACATAGCTCATTATAGCTATTATATATGAAGAATTATCATATTATTAATATAAATATACACACTGAACAAAATTATAAATGCAACACTTTTGTTTTTGCCCCCATTCATCATGTGCCGATCTCAAAGATCTAAAACTCCACATTTAGTACAGGTTAACAAAAAAAAATGCATCATTGCTGACACTGATATATGTTGAACAGTGGACAATGTTATTATTATGTATGAATCAAGTCACTTTATTTAAATAGCACATTTAAAAACAACAGGAGTTGACCCAAAGTGCTTTCCAAGCACACAAAACACACAAATACAAGTATACACAAACAAAAGAACAAAGTATATACCATTGTGTATCCTAATACACAATTCAACGCTAGTACACCAGTACACATCAATAAAAGGAATATGGAATACCTGGTTAAAATCAAATTCAAAGGAAAGGAATAAGAACAACGTCAGATTGAAATGCTCTGATAAACTATTGATTGATTGTTGATAGGCTGTTGATAACTGTTCTGACAAAATGTCAAAGACATCTGTGTACTCTTGCAGAGATAAATACAGAAATTAAATTCAGTTTTATTTACAATATATAGGCTAGTGCCAATTCATAAAAGTTGTCTCATTGTGCTCTCCATATAGAGCAGGTCTAGACCATACTCTTTGTAATATTATTTACGGACACACAACAATTCCCACCATAAGCAAGCATTTTGCGACACATGCAAGGAACAGGTAGAAACCTCGAGCAGAACCTCAGGGTGGGCAGCTATTCTGCATGGCAGCAGAAGAGAGATAGAGAAAGAGGAAGAACATAGAGTAGCACAATGCAAGTACCACATAGGGAGGCTAGGGGACCCATGGCAAAATTTGCTCATTTAACCACATAACCAGAGCTCCAGATCCACCTTTCCTATGCTCCAATACTACCTTTCCCCAGGTTTGCTATATGTTTAAATATTTGACACAGGGCCCTTCAATAAGACAGGGCCTAATTTCAGTTTGTATTGTGTTAAAATATACACAAATATACAATCCATAAATTGCCAAATTATTAAAATAATTTAACAGCAAGATTAACTGGCTGTTTTCCTGCTTTAATGTTTACAATTTCCACTTTGATTGCTTTCATTTAAAGACAGCTCTCATGTGTAAAATTACTTAAAGTCCTGGAGCTCTTACTACTGCTCTGTGGCTCACTGTTGGCACAATCCAGGCTCCATAAAGGAGCAATATACCAATAAAGGAGGAGAAGCATTTTTGTAAGGCCTTACATACAAATGTGAGAGATCTGTGTTTGTTTCCAATGAAAACTATTCATAGTACCTATAATACATTTATTATCAATTTTCTTTACCAGGGCAGATCTAGAGAAATATTAACGGGGTGGCAAGAAGACTTTAAGTGGTGGCTGAAATATACAGAATATAAGATGACTTAGTCACAAACAATCACATACGTATATCAATCAAGATTCCCTTGTAAAAGAGACTGTATCTCAGTAGGACTTTTCCTGTTAAAATAAAGGTTTAATTAAAAATCATAGTGTTTGTATGTCTTAATTTCAAAATATTGCATTGTTGTGTCATGACTGAAGCATTAAATAGAAATATATAAAGGTGACATTAGAAATCAATAACTTGTTTTATTTCCAGATCTTAAGACATTTTAGCTGACACTGATTGTTATTTATGTCAGAGGTCGCACGCCTCTGGAGCAACTAGGGGTTAAGTGTCTTGCTCAGGGACACAATGGTGGACATGTCACAGTTGGGAGTTGAGCCTGGGTCTCTCACACCAAAGGCATGTGTCTTATCAACTGCACCATCACCGCGTTAATTTATGTTTTTTAACGTATTATTTTTTAAATTAATGATCTAAATTAATATGTTAAATTTGACAGCCCTTATACAGTATATGTGTGTGTGTATATATGTATATATAGTTTCAGTACAAAGTTTCAACTGCCTGCATACCCCTCAATTTTCCCCATCAGACTGAAATAAGATTCAAAGTTCAGTAATTCAGTAGTTACATCAATGCAAGCCTAGGTAGAGACGTACATATTAAATTCACCACTTGTGTCACTTATACTCTATACTGTGAAGCCACACATTTAGTGTTGCCAATGATGCAAGATATCCCGTGTTTAACCTGTAATGGCTTTATGTCTGAGCTCTCAGGTGCTTTGAATGAACTGTCACAGCAGTGCTGACTGATGTGCCTTTTTGTTTGGGGCTTGTAGTGAGTAATTTTAGTGCTTTTTAAACTGGGAGCTTTACACTGGCCTGATTGATTTGAAGTTTGGACATGTTTATCTGCAGAACAAATGTTAGCACCGGTAAATATTTGGGATTTGTCAAGTTTAATCCGTCCCTCACACAATAAAACATGAGATAATATTACCAAAAAAAACAAGTGTCCTCTCGCAGCTCCTGGCAAGGCCTTGTGGCAAGGCTGTTTGACCTGTCAATCCTGCATCCTCCTGTTGGGGGAGGGGTAGGGGGAGAACAAAGGAGTCTACAGGAGTGTCATTTCTTGCTGCAGACAATTGCACTTGGACATTAGAGTTTTGTTCTTTAAATTTCTGACCAACCACAACTTTTTAAATATATTTTTCAATCAGGTTGTCCAAAACTGGGGTGGCAAGGCATTCCAATTCCACACTGCTAGCTCTGCCCCTGACTATTAATTTCTGTGACACATTCCACTTCCATTACACTACTGTTTCATCAGACAAACAGAATGGAGCTGGAGTACTCACACTGATAGTATGAGTAGTGAGTGCCATCTTTTCAGAATATAATGCTTCATGGTCAATTAGAGTGAATGACTACACCCAGAACATACATGTCTTTGTGTTTATCTGTCCAAACTTCAGCCCTTACCACTTTATGTTTAACATAGCAGGTTGGTGCAGTGCAGTGATTCCGGAATCGCAGCTGTTCCCATTAATGTCCCAGCTGACACAGTCAAACTGCGTCTAGAGAAGACCTTGATCTCCAGGGTGCCCCGGGCAGCCTTCTACAATCTGTCAGAACTGCGGTTCTTGTGGCTGACCTTCAACTCCATCACATCCATCCATCCCAGCAGCTTTGTCAACCTTAAGGCCCTGCGAGAGTTGCGTCTGGATGGAAACCTCCTGACATCCTTCCCCTGGGAGGGGCTCAGAGACATGCCCCGCCTCCGGACTCTGGGTCTACACAATAATCGTCTGTCCAGCCTTCCTGCCCACGCTTCTCTCTTTCTCCCCAACATCACTTTCCTTGACCTGTCCAGCAACAGGTGTGTCCAGATACCACAAAACCATGGAGCCTACTTATGTAGAGCTACAGAGCTGTCTGTAAAATTCAATAGATGTTGAACTTTTCTCCTTGTCTTGTTTCATGTCAACTCCTCTCATCAGGTTGACAATATTACCTGCAGAGCTGCTGGACCTTTGGTTTCCTCTCCCAGCACAACAGGAAGGACCAATTCAAAGAAGGATTTTGGGTAAAGTATGTTTTGGAGCAATAAAGACACATCCATGATGTTATCCAACGAAGGTTAAAATGAAGGGCAACTGGACTTGGTTGAAGCTACTGGAAGACGTTTCGTCCCTTATCCAAAGGACTTCTTCAGTTCTGACTGACTGGCAGGGAAACTCAGCTATTTAACCTCAGTGGGGTCGTTATCTCGGGTCATCGATACCGCTGGTTCGTTAGTGTTCCTTGTTGCTGTGACGACAGTCGTTACAGTCGTTGAGACTACCTGTGGCCAAGACTGAACGACCATCGTTGGTATCTTCACCTGAGGCCAGGACTGAACGACCATCGTTGGTATCTTCACCTGAGGCCAATAGGTTACGTTTGTTGAGTTTCCTGGGAAGTGATGAAAGGACAGCATTGTAAGTGGGGGATAAGTGGTGGCGTAGACCCCCTCCCCTGTTCAATGACGGCTTCTCAACCCTGGTGTAGATGGCTTCCTTGACACCTCTTTCAAACCATCCATCTTCTCTGTCTAAAATGTGCACCTGGTGGTCCTCAAACGAGTGTCCTCTGTCCTTCAGATGTAAGTAGACAGCAGAGTCTTGACCTGAGGAGTTGGCCCTTCTGTGTTGAGCCATGCGTTTGTGTAGTGGTTGTTTAGTCTCCCCAATATACAGGTCTGTGCATTCCTCACTGCATTGGACCGCATACACTAGATTGCTTTTCTTGTGTTTGGGTGTGCGGTCTTTGGGGTGTACCAGCATCTGTCTTAGTGTGTTCTTGGGTTTAAAAAACACAGGGATGTTATGTTTGTTAAAAATCCTCCTGAGTTTCTCTGATACTCCAGACACATATGGAATCACAATGTTGTTGCGTTTGACCTTCTTTTCCTCATCCCCCGTAGTTTTGTTCTTCTTGGATTTTGTGGCTGTCTTCACAAAAGCCCATTTAGGGTATCCACAGGCTGTAAGTGCCCCCTTCAGGTGGTTCTGTTCCTTCTCTCTGGCTTGGGCGCTTGTTGGTATGTTTTCTGCTCTGTGGTGCAGTGTTCTCATGACCCCTAGCTTGTGCTCCAGTGGGTGGTGTGAATCGAAGAGTAGGTATTGGTCTGTGTGTGTGGGTTTTCTGTAAACACCAATCTGCAGGCTCCTGTCCTCTTCAATGTGTACAGCGCAGTCCAGGAAGGCCAAACTGTTGTTGTGAACATCTTCTCGTGTGAACCTGATGTTACTGTCCACAGAATTGATGTGTTCTGTGAAGGCTTGCACTTCCTGGCTTTTGATTTTGACCCAGGTGTCGTCCACATATCTGTACCAGTGGCTCGGTGCTATTCCTCTGAAGGAGTTGAGGGCTTTATTCTCCACTTCTTCCATGTAGATGTTGGCCACAATCGGGGATACCGGTGAGCCCATGGCACAGCCATGCTTCTGTCTGTAGAATCCACCGTTGTACTGGAAGTAGGTGGTGTTTAGACAGAGGTCGAGTAATTTGCAGATTTGGTCAGGGCTGAGTCTGGTTCTGTTGTCCAGGGTGTTGTCTTGTGTTAGCCGTTTCCTAACGGTTTCTACTGCCTCTATGGTGGGGATGCAGGTGAACAAAGAAGTCACGTCATAGGATACCATGGTTTCGTCTGGATCCAGTTTTAGTCCTCGAACTTTGTTTACAAAGTCAATAGAGTTTTGGATGTGGTGAGGCGTGTTTCCCACCAATGGAGCTAAGATGGTGGAAATGTGTTTGGCAATGTTGTAGGTGACCGAGTTAATGCTGCTGATAATCGGCCTGAGTGGGGCTCCTTCTTTGTGTATCTTGGGAAGTCCATGAATGCATGGAATGGCTTCTCCAGGATACAAACGGTAATATTGTTCACGGGTGATGGTGTTGTCCTTCTGTAACTGTTGTAGACATTCTATGGCCTTTTTCTTGTATCCGCTGGTTGGGTCTCGTCTCAGTGTCTCATACGTGTTTGTGTCCATTAGTAGTGTGTTGACTTTGTTCTGGTAGTCAGCTGTGTTAAGTACTACCGTGCATCTTCCTTTGTCCGCAGGTAGGATAGTGATGTTTTGATCCTTGCTCAGGGATGTCACAGCCTTCCTTTCTTGGATGGTGAGGTTGGAAGGGGGGGCCTTCGCATTCGAAAGGGCTGCAGATACCTTTAGTCTGAGCTGTTCCGCTTCTGTTTCTGTTAATTTGTTTTCCTAATGGCCGATTCTGTGGCTGTGATGAGGTCTACTATCGGTAGTTGCTGTGGTGTAATTGCAAAGTTTAATCCTTTGGCCAGAACGTCTTTCTCTGGTTGGGTGAGTTCCCTATCTGACAAGTTTTTCACCCATCTGTTGTCTGTTTCAAGTGTTGTGGGGTTATTGTCCTTTCTCCTCCAAGACAATTCTCCTGTTTTGTTAGTGCAGCTCGCTCTGGACTGTAGGTTTTGGAATTTCCGGGTCTGTCTTTCTTTGCTCTTGTTGTGCTGAGATAGCTGTGCTTTCTTGATGAAGTCCATGACCTTTCCCAGTGCTGTACTGGGCAGATATGTTTCTAGTTTGTGGTGTATGTTGTCCATTTCTTTGTTCAGGGCTTCAATTGTGAAGTGTATCTGTCTCACTCTCTCGTTCAGTAGCTGGTGTTGTGCTTTCTCCAGGATTATTCCGGCTCTGTGTCCTTTTACTGTGGAGCCTAAGTGTAGGCTGTTGGGAATAAGTTTGTGTTGTCTGCATCTCAGGTTGAATCGTAGGTGATTCCTGTAGTCTGCAATTTTCCTGGCTGACTGTAACGACTGTCGTCACAGCAACAAGGAACACTAACGAACCAGCGGTATCGATGACCCGAGATAACGACCCCACTGAGGTTAAATAGCTGAGTTTCCCTGCCAGTCAGTCAGAACTGAAGAAGTCCTTTGGATAAGGGACGAAACGTCTTCCAGTAGCTTCAACCAAGTCCAGTTGCCCTTCATTTTAACCTTCGTTGGATAACTATGACCTGGATGACTGAGAATCTTCATAGACATCCATGATGTTAACGTTGCTTATAGAGTTAATAGGTTTACCTATCCATTTTAGGTAAGGTTACAGTCTGTTTCTTTTAACCTTTGTTGTTTCACTGTAATGTTTGCATTATTATACCACATACATGTTGTTATTAAATAGACGCAAGATAAGTATATGAGATGTTAGGTTGTAAGTATTTAAAACTTGACAACACCACTCTAGACTACTCCTTTAAGAAGAGGATTTCAATAACATTCTGAAGAACATTAGAAATACCATCAAATGGCATTGTGTTTTACAATTCTCTTGGGAAAGTCCTCACGAACAAGCCACTGCAGTAATATTTGTAGGTAGCTAGCTCTGTAATGAGAACAAAGGAGCAACCATTTTCCTCCGACCTGCACCATCGGAACACTGCACAGCGAAGACTGCATTCAACATTGGAACCACCATTATTTCCAGCCTGGCTCAACAATGACTGACAGAATCACCAGCTAACAAAGCAGCACACCAAGAAATCCCTCTCCCTTTACTGGTAACTGGGCGTACTGGGCTAGCATAGCGAAATGTTGGAATTTTATTTGAAAATAGCAGGTTAAAAATCATTTTCATGGTACATTGACTTGTTATAGGAATGGAGTCTCTTTCATTGCTCTATGTAGCATTGGAATCCTGGGCAGGAAAGCTTTCACAACAACAGTATAATGCTTTACAGCACCATGTCAAACATCAGATTCTTCAGCAAGCAAAGATTATATAATGTACAATGTGAGCTCTTTGGAAGAAGCTAGCTTGGTATTCTCAGTATAGATATCATGGCAGAATCTGCAAAGAAACTGAAGAGAGGAAGCAAGGAAGAGAAAAAGAGAGAGTGATCAAGCAAGAGACCAGGCATGAGTAAATATATGACTGGCTTGAGCTAGAAGAGCTGAAAGGATGCAGGACAGATGAGAGCTGGCCTTCCTGCTGCTGCAACATGGCCATGGTTTGTCCTCAATAATGAGGTGTTGAGAGGCAGCCAAAGCCAAGAGGAAGATGATGAGCATCTCCAGCTAAAAAAGCTGAAAAAGTCATGCAGCTGCCTAGAGAAGAGAGAAGAGCACAGGAGAGCAGCAAGAGGATGGATAGGCTCTTCTCTCTAAGCTAAAAAATAAATAATATGAATTAATTGTTAAATTTATTACAGGTCTTTGCAACTATTTACAACATAAAGTACATAAGAAGTGGAATATAACTGTTGTCTGCAGGTCCTTTTTTAAAAAGCCTTAAACTCAATTTCCTAAATATTCGGCCTTAGAAAATGTATTTATGTATATTTATGTTCAGCTGAGCAGGGAGTCCCTGGTGGTACAAGGTAGATTTATTTGTCATTTTACAACACAGGGATGTATAATGAGATGAAGTCTGTAGTTCCCTTTATGCTAATCACAAAGAGCAAATGTTATATACAAAAATCATAAAATTATATACAGAAAAAACTATTTTGCATGGTGCAGTGCTGAGGATGAATTTGAATAGGAATTTTAGTCTCACAGCCTGGAGGAAGAAGTTGCTCTGCAGTCTGGTGGTGTGGCAGCAGAAACTTCTATATCTCTTCCCAGAAGGCAGCAGGGTGAACAGGCTGTGGCTGGGTGGGTACTGTCCTCTAGTATCCTTTGGGCTCTGCAGGAACCTCACCTCACCGATATCACTGATGCTCGGGAGATGTGAGACGACCATGTCAGGTTCTCTGTGATGCTGATTCTCAGGAATTTGAAATTGTTCACCTGCTCCACCTCAGCTCCACTGATGTAGACAGGAGTGTGCGTCTTTATCTTCTTTTTCTACGTTCTTCTTCTTGGTTTTTCTGACATTGAGCAGTAGGTTGTTCTATGGGCTGAGCACTAGAGTGAAGGAGGTGTGTTCCCCAATCCAAACTGACTGGGGTCTGTTTGTGAGGAAGTCCAATATCCAGTTGCAGAGGGTTATATTTAAACCCAGAGTGCCGAGTTTGCTGATAAGTTTCATGGGGGAGATGCTGTTGAATGCTGAGCTGAAATCCACAAACAGTAATGTATCTCTTTTAGTCAGTGAACCTGTGTTGGTTATCACCTTATTTGATTTGTCGCTTTCTCCTTTTGAGAGAGTAGTTTTGTGTTGGTTTTCCTGTTTGAAAACATTGTAATAAATATAATTTTTGGTTTGCACCTGACCCTGACATCCGGTCCTCTTTTGCCCCGGTTTTATTTTAAACATTGTTGCTCCTCCTCCCCCTAAACGTAACACTCCTCCTCTTCCAACTCTTCCTCCTTGAACTTGTGAACTTGTCCTCGTTGCCGTCCCCTGCCTGTCCCTCCTTCTCCCCTTGTTCTCTGTCCATTGTTGGCATCCATTGTTCAAAACAGGTAATCTGACCTTTGACCTTGAGGTCTACTGTCTTTTGTTAGTGATCAGTTAAGAAACGGACAGACCCTACAGGGGGCGTAATCGATTTTCGCTGTTGTAGCTGTTTTCTGTCCAAAAACAGCGGCACTTAGTCAACATAGACTGTCTGGCGGGCCGCCATCTTGGTGAGGTCGGCTTAGCTCTAAGTTTCGTTTCTGTCGTCAGATTGAAGTAGAGAAGAAGAGTTTGCTTTGGCGGAGGCGATCTTTATCAGCCTCTGCTAGCGACCCGTAGGAGCTAAACAGACATTCAGGATATGTACGGATTCGTCTTGTCGAGACCAACAGCCCTGTAGGATGTTCTGTTCTCAAGCTGTGGGCCTGTAAAGCATGGGAGTGCTTTTGGTCATATATATTGACTGATTTTATCAATACTTCAATGTTTTGGAAGCGTTATGTTATTTGGAACGTGTTTGTATGGAGAGAAATAGTGTTTTGAAGATAACTCCCAATAAAAGTGAACATATAAACACTTATATTAAACTTCCCACTTGGGAAGGAGCAGCTCTCATTTCTAGAAATCTGGCCAAGTTTATTAGTGGACCAAATCCATGACAACCATGAGTTGAGACCAGGAGGCAGAGTCGCAGTCTAACACACTTCTCTGCTCCTCCATTTCAGGAGTTACTTAGTGAAAACCCTATAGTGATGGTGTCTGCCCCCCGACCATCGAAATTATTTAAATCAAAGGTAAACAGAAGAGGAGCTGTGCATAAAAACCTCATAAAAATTAAAACCACAAGAGCAATAGTGCAAACGAATAGGAGAGTTAAATGTGGACTCTTAAACATCAGATCTCTCTCTTCTAAAGGTGTACTAGTAAATGAACTAATATCAGATTATGATATTGATTTATTTTGTCTTACTGAAACCTGGCTGGGTGATGGAGAATATGTTAGCCTAAATGAATCCACCCCTCCCAGTCATATTAATACTCACATTCCTCGAGGCACAGGCCGAGGAGGTGGAGTTGCAGCTATCTTCGACTCTAGCCTACTAATCAGCTCTAAACCTAAACTATAACTCATTTGAAAGCCTTGTTCTTAGTCTTTCACACCCAAGTTGGAAATCACTGCAACCAATTCTTTTTGTTATAGTGTACCGAGCACCTGGTCCGTACTCTGAATTCTTACCTGAATTTGAGTTTTTTCAACTTTAGTCCTTAAAACGGACAAAGTTATTATTGTAGGGGATTTTAATATTCATGTGGACGTTGAGAATGACAGCTTCAGTACTGCGTTTATCTCTCTGTTAGATTCCATTGGCTTCTCTCAGAGTGTTCATGAACCGACTCACTGTTTTAACCACACCCTCGACCTTGTTTTGGTATATGGTATTGAAATTGAACATTTAATAGTGTTCCCACAGAATCCCTCTTTATCTGACCTGTTTGATAACTTTTGAGTTTTTACTGCTGAACTACACGCCATTGGGCAAAGATTTCTATACAAGATGTCTGTCTGATAGTGCTGTAGCTAAATTCAAGGATGCGATTCCATCAGCTCTAAATACATTATCTAGTCACAAAGTAACGGAGGACTCCTATGCTAATTTCAGTCCCTCCCAAATCGATCATCTTGTTGATAGTGCTGCAGGCTCGCTGCGAATGACACTTGACTCTGTAGCCCCTCTAAAAAAGAAAATAATAAAACATAGACGGTTAGCTCCATGGTATAATACTGAAACTCGCAAATTAAAGCAAATATCGCGGAAACTTTAGGGTTCCACCAAACTGGAAAATTCTCATTTAATTTGGCAAGATAGTCTTAAAACTTATAGGAAGGCCCTCCGTAATGCCAGAGCAGCGTACTACTCGTCATTAATAGAGGAAAATAGGAACAACCCCAGGTTTCTTTTCAGCATTGTAGCCAGGCTTACAGAGAGTCACAGCTCTTTTGAATAAGTATTCCCATAGCTCTCAGTAGTTATGACTTCATGAGCTTCTTTAATGATAAAATTATAACTATTAGAAACAAAATTTACTATGACCTGCCCTCAACTGGCACCGACTTATCTCCAAACTCAGGAACCTTAGAAATGGCTGTAAAACCAGATATATGTTTATCAACAGGCTATGTACCACAGTACTTTAAAGTAGCTGTAATTAAACCTCTTCTGAAAAAGCCCAAACTTGATCCGGATGTTTTAGCCAACTATAGACCTACATCTAACCTTCCATTTCTCTCTAAGGTTCTGGAGAAAGCAGTTGCTAAACAGCTGCGTGATTTTCTACAGAGCAATAGTTTATTTGAGGATTTTCAGTCAGGATTTAGAGTTCATCATAGCACAGAGACAGCACTGGTGAAAATTACTAATGACCTCCTTATTGCATCAGACAAAGGACTTGTCTCTGTGCTGGTTTTATTAGATCTTAGTGCTGCATTCGATACGATACCATTGACCATCAGATCCTATTACAGAGACTGGACCACTTCATTGGCATTAAATGAACCGCTCTAAGCTGGTTTAAGTCCTATTTATCAGATCGATTTCAGTTTGTACATGTTAGCGATGAGTCCTCCATGCATGCCGAAGTTAGTCATGGAGTTCCACAAGGATATTCCATAAACTTTCATTGTTATGCAGATGATATTCAGTTATATCTATCGATCAAGCCAGATGAAACTCATCAGTTAGCTAAACTTCAAATGTGCCTTCAGGATGTTAAAACCTGGATTACCTGTAATTTTCTAATGTTAAACTCAGATAAAACTGAAGTTATTGTTCTGGGGCCTAAGCACCTCCGTGACGCATTATCTAAAGATATAGTTTCCCTTGATGGCATCGCCCTGGCCTCCAGCACCACTGTGAGGAATCTTGGATTTATCTTTGATCAGGACATGTTGTTTAAGTCTCACATTAAGCAAATTTCAAGGACCGCCTTTTTTCAACATGTAATATTGCGAAAATCAGGAACATCCTGTCTAAAAATGATGCAGAAAAACTAGTCCATGCATTTGTTACATCTAGGCTGGATTACTGCAATTCTCTATTATCAGGCTGCTCGAAAAAGTCCATCAAGACTCTTCAGCTGATCCAGAATTCTGCAGCACGTGTTCCGACAGTAACCAGGAAAAGAGATCATATTTCTCCTGTCTTAGCTTCTCTGCATTGGCTTCCAGTAAAATCCAGAATAGAATTTAAAATCATTCTTCTTACCTACAAAGCTCTTAATGGTCAGGCACCATCTTATCTTAAAGAGCTCATAGTACCTTACTACCCCACCAGAGCACTGCGCTCCCAGAATGCAGGGTTACTTGTGGTTCCTAGAGTCTCCAAAAGTAGACTAGGAGCCAGAGCGTTCAGCTATCAAGCTCCTCTCCTGTGGAACCAGGTTCCAGTTTGGGTTCAGGAGGCAGACACCATCTCCACATTTAAGAGTAGGCTTAAGACTTTCCTCTTTGATAAAGCTTATAGTTAGGGCTGGCTCAGGTGAGTCCTGAACCATCCCTTAGTTATGCTGCTATAGGCCTAGACTGCCGGGGGATTTCCCATGATGCACTGAGCTCCTCTCTCCTCTACTTTCTCTCCCTCTGTATGCAACCTCATCCCATTAATGCATGTTACTAACTCAACTACTGCCTATTGCCTCTGTCGCCTGGTGCTTGCTCTTGGTTGGAACTGTTGGGCTTCTGTAAATAACATCACAGAGTATGGTCTAGACCTGCTCTTTTATGAAAAGCGCTGTGAGATAACTGTTGTTGTGATTTGGCGCTATATAAATAAAATTGAATTGAATATAAACAGTAAATATGGCCAAAACATGGACATTCGCCTGGTAAATCTTTGAAAGATTGTGTAATAACTGTTGCATATCAGTTTCTTGTCATCAAATTTACAGTTACAGTTGTATTCCAGGTGTATTAGAAGATATTCAGGTGCATTATAATCTACCTTATGATGGTTTTGATGGTTTATTGCATTAAAATATAGCTTTTTTCTTCCAGGCGAGAATAAAAATATCATATTTTTCTGTATTTCATCTCCATGTAGTCTGTAATGTTAAAATAAATACGTTAATGTACAATGATTTATATTTCTCAGCTTCTGACCTTTCAAAGGACACCAGAATTATGCATCTAGGCCTAATGGTTGAGGAGTTATTACTGATTTATTTTGGGAATGTTATTTTAGGCGTTTTTCCTGGAAATAGGTGCCAGGGTTCATGTTTAAGCAGTTAGTGTTTGCAAATGTGATAAGTGCCTGTGTGACCCGGTGAATAAGTGTAGAATTTTGATTGGTTGTGTTTTGAAAAGGAAAACAAGTCACTTCCTGTTAGATTTTTGTGTCTTAGGTAGAAGATTGTGTCTAGTGTTTTGAAAAAAAGTGTTTTATGCAATTGAAAAGTGAGTGAAAGGCTGAGAAATAGCTTTTGGTTTTGGAGATTTCATGTGAGGTTTTGCTCTTTGAGTTTCAAAGTTTCAAAAATTGTGTGACATGTAAAGATTTTGTGTGTAAGCAGTTGTTAAAAACTGTAAGCAACGGAGAAAAACTGTAACTGATGGTTTTTATCATGCCTGGTTTTAGGGTGTGTGGCAGCACCCCTACTTCCAGTGTCCATGACTGTACTTGTAAAATAAGATTGGGAATTTAATTCTTTTATGTAGGCTCCTATATATCCAACTCCAATTTATGACACGTTAAACATGACAAAGATGTAAAGAAGTAAAACTGTTCTTGACCTAGGCCTCCATGACAACCCCTGGTTGTGTGACTGCCAGATCTCCATGGTGACGTCCTTGTCCATGTTGCTGGGGAGTCCTGTAGTTCTCATGGACCAGCAGCTGATATGCAGCAGGTCTCTGGGTCAGTCAGGAATGCTGCTGACCCAGGCTGAGCTGTCCCGCTGTATGAGGCCTTCAGTCCAGCCTGCAGCCACCAGAGTCATCTCTCCACTGGGCAGCAATGTAATCCTCCGCTGTGATGCAACCGGCTATCCAACACCAACCCTGACCTGGATCAAAACCTCAGCCTACACTGGTAAGCAATCCAGAGTCACTATCAAGTGATGAAGTGATTTTACTAACATCTGAGCATCATGTTGTTGTTGTTCTCTTTACAGATTGTTGCCAAGAAGACATCCTTGAGAACTCTGACCAGCTACCAATGAATTTGGAGAGCTGTAAGTGGTGCTCTCATATCTTTTAAGTTAAATTGTTATAGCATACAGGGTTCATGTGACCAATATTTTACCACCAGTGTTTCTCCTGGATTTTTCCCCAGCCATTTTTGTACCCATGGCCAAGGTGCTCTGTGGGCTCCCTCACACAGCAAGGTGTTTATGGTCAAAATCATGTTAGGAAAATAAATCAAAAACAGAACAATTGTCAAACAATCATTGCATACATTCCAGATGTAATTTTAATATATAAGCAGCACCAATTATGTTGTAGTAATGTCACAGTCTTCCAAAGTCAGAAAAATTCTCAAGCGCCTCCTTGCTCACACATGGAGCAGAAGTGAAGCATTTCTATCATAATAACATAGGACATTTGACTTTGAGTACATAAACACCATATAAAGGACCAGCAAAATCTAGTTTAGCTAGCTGAACAATGTTTATTTTTAGGAAATGTCTGATGAGCTTGCTGTTGTTCCACTGCCTCCGTTACGTACAACCTGCCTACGTAACACGTACTACAGATCTGCTGCGCACGGCCACACGTGCGAGAGGACAACAAACAGCGGCAGCTGCTGTGCCATTCATCATAAACTTTGGCTTTAAAATTTCACACAACAAGACCCAAACAAAGACGCGCTGAACGCAAATATGTTAGTAACCTAAACATGTTTAGCTCAGCATTGTGTTATGAAAAGATATATGAGCGTTTGTTTGCTTGCCAAACTTGTGGTGGTCGATTAACGTAATCATTTACATCTCGCTGGCTGCCATCAGCGTTAATTATTAGCTGCAAACAGGCTCCAGGTTTATCATGTAACATTACAGTTTTATTTAGTTAATGTTAAACTGGTCTGACAGTATGAGGAATGTGTTGACTTACAGTAGATAATAAGCTTGCATTGCATTGCACATTACATGGTTGTGCTCTGTAAATGAAAAACAGGTTACAGTTACAGAATCCCTTATAGCAAAGTCAGTTTAAGACTTGACTTGGACTCTAGCTCAGTGACTTGAGACTTGACTTGGACTCTAGCTCAAAGACTTGTGAGCATCTCTGGAAGGTTAATCGTAGTTAAGTATTTTGCCTTGGTGTGCCATAACAATAAACATAGCAAGTAGAAAATATAAAGATAAAGCAAGTACTGCAAGTCAAGAAACATAAAAGGGTAACTGACAATAAGATATTACCTATTTAAACATTATAAAAAAAATAAAATAAAAAATATGCAGAATATGACTGTTGATTTATGCATGGATGAGCAAAATATTTACCAAGGAATGTGCAAACGTTCACAGTATGAAGTAGGGGTGTGGAAAATAATTGAGTCTTAGATGCATCGCAATGTGGACTTGATTGATGATTCTGAATCGATTCACAAATGTCAACTTGACTTTCACATAATCAAAAAAACGTTAATGATTTTCACCAGCACACTGTGCAGCACGGTAGCGCTTAGCTAGCGTCCTCTCCTCATTCTTCAAAGGACGTCTATGTGACAGGAGACGGTAGGTGACGTTGAAAGCGAGTGGAGCAAAGGAAAACATGAGTGCTAGGTTCCAGTTTGGCATGTACAGTGTAGGTCATATCCGTTAATTAAAGTCAGACTGCAGTCTGGAAGCTGAGCACGGCGTTTTTTGGATGCTAGTTCAAGTTTGTTTGTTGCCATTCATCCACATATCGAGGACACAAATTAAAGAAATGCTGTTTCTCAAGGCCCATGGTGCTCAATCCAATAATACAATTAACTTACTGGACAAGACACAAACATGCAACTACACTAGACGAGACAAAAAAACCCCAGCAGATATTTAGGTGGAGTGAACATGCTGTGGCTGGAGCATTGTAAAGTGCGTAGTTCAATCCATTTTTGAATCTATACTAATAATAGCAGCATCAGAAATGAAAATAGCAGCAACAAAGGTCAGTAATAATGGTGTAATAATGTAATAATACTATGTAATGTTAGCTACATTTATATGAAGTAACATTAAATAGCTGCATACCTACTAAATTGGATTGTTATGAATACTTTGCATTAAAGTACCAAGCAGTTACACAGTGAAAAAGATAAATCTTTATCCTATTAGTTTTACGATCGCATCAAAGCCCTCATAATCGTAATAAGGTGCCTAGAAATTCCCACCCCTAGAGGTGACGCATTGTGATGCATCATGATGCATCAAGATATTAAATCTTACAAGTATCTACATGTGCAAGATAGTAGTACAGATATATCTTTAATAACAAGTCCTAATTGTTTCATTCTCTGATTCAACCCACAACCATCAGGGTATCTTACATAGGTCTCCACCTGTCAACATGGCCACAGGTCATTACAGTTTTTCTCGATTGCTTAAACACATTTCTTGAAATTATGCCTCTTTTTCTCGAAACTCTAAAACAACTTCTCACCCAATTCCCCAAACATCCTATTTTCAGGTCAAAATGAAGCTCTCCACTCAAAATCTTTCAATCTTGCTGAAAAACCAAACTTTGCCCTCAGACATAACACACAAGCCCTAAAACACATACACTACAACAGTCTGACACACTGGTGAGATCAATTCAAGACAATACTACAAAAACTGGTCATTAATAATGTTGCGTGTGGTTCTCCCTCAAAAACCTTTTCACATGATGAACACAACAAAAGAAATAACAAATACACATTTGCACACATTTTATTCCTTAGTGTGCTGTACAGTAAAACACGCCAAACAACAGATTATTCTGCCCCAGCATCCTGTCTTTGGTCTGGGACCCGCCAGAGATTCTCCTTCTCCAAGGGGGAGCAACTACTACTACTACTACTACTACAGAAAGCTGACGGTAAGATGGCAGTCCGTGCAGTCGCATCTCACTGAGCCCCTCGAGAAGTCCCGATGTTATAGTTAATTAAAAAGACATATCCACTATTAACTGCCATTTGTCCAGTTCTCAGCACGAAAATGAAGAAACACAACAGCGGAAAGCCTCTGGCGCAAAAAAATCTCCCATTTGAAAGCTGTGGGTTGATGAGTGTACACGACTATGCAGATATGGCTAACGCTAGCAAGAACAAACAAGGGCCGACAACTCCAGCGGAAACCCCCAGAAACACACCTGGAGAAGAAAACGAAAGGTTTGTCTCAAGAAGAAACAAACACAGAAACCATACTGAATGCTATCAACTCTCTCGGTCAACGTGTAGACGACTGCATGGAAGAATTTAGCAGGCAGTTGCAACAGCACAGCTCCATGCTAGCTTCTATTGCTAAATCGGTGCAGTTCAATGCAGAAGAGCTAAAAGAGTGTAAAACGAAAATAAAACACCTGGAAAAGAAAGTGGAGACACTGACTAAAGAAAATGAAGACATGAGGGGTCGAGTACTGAATAATGACAGATACAAAAGACGGTGGTGCTTGCGCATCAAAGGGAAAAAAGAAACGGCTAATGAAAACATAAGAGAGGAGGTGGTGGAGCTTCTTCGCAGGATTGCACCGGACCTGGCGGTAAAGTTGGATGAAGCATTCAACGTTGTCCACAGAGTGGGAAGAAGGATGGACAACCGGCAACGACAAATAATCATTTTATTTGTGCGACAAGCAGTGAGAGATGACATCTGGTGGCGAACAAAAACTTCTCCAATCTGCAAAGAAGAGGGGATTTGTTTTACTGAAGATCTGACTCAAGAGGACTGGCGTTCCAGACAGGCTCTCTGGCCCAAAATCGACCAGGCTAGAAAGGAAGGAAAGGCTGCAGGCTTCAGGGGCCCGTTTGGATTCATCGAAGGCAAGCGTATTATGGAGGAGATTTAAGTTATGGGATGAAACTAGTGCTTAAAATGAATACATAGTGGATCAGTTCGGGTGATGGATCTTCTACCTCAAAGTTTTTACTCCACCTCCCTACTTTTTTCATTTTTTTCTCTTCACAAAAAGTTCATTTGTTCATGTGTTCTATATTTCAGTTAAATACTGACCTTTCTTTTATTTCCTTTAATACAAGGGGACTTAAAGACTCAGTTAAGCGAAAAGCTGTCTTTTTGTTTTGCAAAGGGCAACAAGCACATTGCACCTTTCTTCAAGAAACTCACTCTGATATATCTGATGTTAAGTTTTGGTCACAACAATGGGGAAATAAAATTCTCTTCAGTCATGGGACAAATCGGTCGGCTGGAGTTGCCATATGTTTCAACAGATGCCCTGGTAAGATTCTGGGTGGAAAAGCAGACAAGGAGGGACATTGGGTAGCCTGTGTTTTGGAAATTGATGCTAATCTTGTTATTCTGATTAACATATATGGTTATAACAACGATACCAAAAATAGAAATCTCTTACATCAAATATCGGAAGTTATCATAGAACTAAAAGCAAAATTCCCCACAGATCATATTATTGTTGGAGGGGATTTCAATTTATCTCCTGATGAGTGGATGGATAGATGGCCTTCCAAGTTCTTGAGTGAACACAGAAACACAATTTTGGAAGCTTTTGCTAATAATAACCAATTGCTAGACATCTGGAGAAGTTTACATAGTGGAGTGAAACAGTTTACCTGGCATAAACCTAATGGTCAAAACAAATCACGAATTGATTATTGGTTAATATCAAACTCAATATCAGATCATGTCACAGAAACAGAAATTGCTAGCTGTCCTTTAAGTGATCATTGTATTATTAACCTGAAAATCCGAAACAGTAATAAAAATAACAAACCAAAAGATTATTGGAAATTTAACTCAGAGTTTTGTCATTCCATTAAAAAAATTATTTTTGATATAAAGAATGACAATACACTAGACACATCTATACTAAAATGGGAATTTTTGAAATTTAGTATTAGAAAGCATTCAATAACGTTTAGTAAAAAAGTGAATAAAGAAAAGAGAGCTCAAGAAGTAACAGTGGTTAAAGAACTCATGACACTTTATAGTAAATCAGATTGGAGTGAAGAGGACAAAGAAAAAATAAGTAATTTGCAATCCAAATTGGATATAATGTATATAGATAAAGCTAAAGGTGCATATATTAGATCCAGGGCCCGGTGGATTGAAGAAGGAGAAAAGAATACTGCATACTTTTGCAAATTAGAAAAACGCAGACAAGAATATAATTCGATTTGTAGTCTTACAGTTGATGGACAAGAATGTACAGAACCCAAACGCACTGAAAAAGAAGTTTTCAATTTTTATAGGAATCTTTATAAATCTTCCTACTCAGAACAGGATGCCTCATCTTTTTTTGATCTAATTAACAACTTGATTCCTGTTATTGATGAAAATTTTAAAGAAGTTTGTGATGAGGAACTAAAAATTGTTGAATTTGATTATGCTATAAAAAAAATGGCATCTGATCGTTCGCCAGGGCCAGACGGTATTACAACTAACACTTTTGGGAAGACTTAAAACACCTACTGTTTCAGGCTATAAATGAATGTATTAATCAAAAAGAACTGATGCAAACTATGAAACAAGGAATAATAAAATTGATTCCAAAACCTGGAAAAGATAAAAGGATATTAAGCAATCTAAGACCTATTACACTGTTGAATACAGACTACAAGATTCTAACAACAGTTTTGGCAGCAAGATTAAAGACAGGTATATCTAAATTAATCAGCCCAACACAATCTGGTTTTCTTAAAGGAAGATCCATCCATAATAACATCCGCCTGGTCCTGGATCTTATTGATTATAATTATTTAATTAAGGAAGATGGTTTTATCTTTTTTTGGATTTCCAGAAAGCATTCGATTCAGTGGAACACTTATTTATTGTTAACACACTGAGACACTTTGGCTTTGGAAATAAGTTTCTTGATATGATAATTATGATGCATACGGATATTAATAGCTGTGTTTCCCTCTCAGAAGGTACATGTCCTAGATTTAAGGTTGAACGAGGAATAAGACAGGGCTGTAGTATTTCTCCTCTTTTATTCATTGCCGTGACTGAACTACTAGCAATTGCGGTTAAAAATTCAAATATTAAAGGTTTAGAGATAAACAACCACAAGTTACTCATAAGTCAGCTCGCTGACGATACCACTCTGTTTTTACAAAATAAGGAACAAATACCAGTAGCTGTAAAAGTAATAGAGCGGTTTTCACTAGCATCGGGTCTATATCTGAATCTGAGTAAATGTGAATTGATGAGCATTCATAACTGCTCTGAATCCTCACTATATAATATACCAGTCAAAAATGACATTAAATATCTAGGTATTTGGATTTCCAAATCATCAGATACAAGTGAAAAAAAGAATATCCAAGATAATATTGATAAATATGGAAAAACATTAAACAGTTGGCTACAAAGAGATTTAACATTATTTGGAAGAACGATGTTGACTAAGATTGAATCTATTTCCAGACTGATATATCCATCCTACTCTCTTGCTATTTCTCCAAAGTTAATTAAAGAAATTAATAGAATCAATTTTAATTTTATTTGGAAAAATAAACATCACTACATTAGAAAAGGAGATCTGTTGAAAAATTATGAGGAAGGTGGCATAAAGGCAATCGACTTTGAAATTATGAATGGAATGTTGAAAGTTAAATGGCTCCAATCTTTTTTGAGGAACGGTGAAGAGATATGGTTCTCCTTACCGGCATATATCTTTGATAAAATATCATCACAGAGTACGGTCTAGACCTGCTCTTTTATGAAAAGCGCTGTGAGATAACTGTTGTTGTGATTTGGCGCTATATAAATAAAATTGAATTGAATTGAAATTGAATAAAGTGGGAGGTATTACATTTTTAATAACATGTGACTTTGAAATATCTAAATTGCCTATAAAACTTTCAACTTTTCAACAACAGGTTTTGTTACAGTGGAAACTGATGTTCAAACATAACTTCAGTCCCCACAATGTTCCATTATGGAACAACAGAGTTATATTGTGTAGAAGGAAATCTATGTTTCTGAAAGACTGGTGGAAAAAGCAAATATGGTCAATTGTTCATATATTGGATGAAAATGGTAATATTCTTGAACTGGAGGAATTTAATTCTAAATATAATATTAACTGCTTAATTGTGGATTACAACAAAGTAACACAGAACATTCCAAAGGTCCTTATTCAAGCAATAAAGAATAATATTATGAACATTGCATCACCAAGACTACACAAAATTAATTATGTGGACCTGGTAGATAAAAAATGTAATAATAATTTCCTTAAGCAAACTCTTGTTAACTGTTTGTACCCGGGTAGAACAAGGAGTACTCTCTTCTTTCTTGGTTATAACAAATATGAAATATCTTCAATTAGAACAAAATTCCTAAGATATCCAATTCCTCCTAAATTTAAGGAAGTACATTTTAAAACAATAAATAATATATATCCCTCTAATGAGTTTGTAAAGAAAAGATTCAAGTTTGAGGTAGACAATTCAAATTCATTCAAATCTGCAAAATTTATGTTGAAACAACTGAACACCTGTTTTATGAATGTCAAATGGCTCAGAATTTATGGAAATCTCTTCACAGCATGTTGTCCTCCAGATCTATAAACATAGATTTCTTCTCATATCAAAATATTCAGATGGGTGTAATTCTACAAAATAAAAATGATGAATTTTTGGTCAATAATCTAATTATAGCTACAAAATATTATATACAATGTCGATTTGCCAAATCCTCCCCCACATGGTCTGCATTTAAAAATGAACTTTTGCTGTTTCAAAACTGTCTTAAAAAGGTTGAGAATGCCCAGGCTAAAAAACTGTATAATCGTTTAATATCACTTCAGATGAGCTGAGTCCCTCTGTTTGGTTTGTTTATGTTATTATTTTGTTTTAGTTTATTTTTATTGTTTTGAGCTCTTTCAGTCTAAGTTGTTCTCCCTTGTCATGTGAACAGTATAGAAAATGTATTTTCAGATGATTTGCAGGAGGTGTGACTCTTAGTTTATATTACAATAAGATTTATTTTGTACATTTTGAGGATGTCATTTTTTCTTTTTTGTCAGACGTCCTTATTGTTTATTGTAATAAGAAAAAGTTAAATAAAAAAATTTAAAAAAAAGATTCTCCTTCTCCACCTCCTTCTCCTCCTCTTGCTCTTCCTCCTCCTCTCTGGTGTCCTACACCTCTTCCTCTCTGGCCCTTCTATCTGTTGAAGCTTCTGATTGGTGTCTTATCAATTACAGTCCCCTCCAAAAGTATTGGAACGGTAAGGCAAATTCCTTTGTTTTTGTTGTTCACTGAAGACATTTGGGTTTAAGATCAAAAGATGAGTATGAAGAGTTCAGAATTTCAGCTTTCATTTCCTGGTATTCACATCTAGCTGTGTTAAACAACTCAGGACATATCACCGTTTGTATTAGACCACAGCATTCTTAGGTGAGCAAAAGTAATGGAACAAATAATCTTAAAGTAAATAACATTTACAGTTTTTCAATTGTTTACACACATTTTCTGAAAGAATGCGTCATTCTCAGAACTCCACAAACAAATCAAAAAACACACAATGGGCAAAACCCCTCAATTCTCTTGCAAAATGAAACTTTACATTCAAAACAATGTTATTTCTTCTCAAAATGGTGTTTTGTTTTCAAATGACACACAAACCATCATATGAATAGACATTCATAAGAACCAGTTGAACACTGATGTGCTCAATGGAAAACACTATGATGAATGGAAAACACTTCTCCATTCATCATAATGACTTAGGACTTTTTTTTGTTCAGTGTTACACTAACTACAGACAGTACATACATAAGTGTGTTGTAAAATATTTGAGAATTTTTTTTTATGCTCAGAACACACAAATACACGGTAACAAATATTTGATTTGTCCCACAAAAACAATGTACACAGTGTACATCCCATTCCCAACCAACACAAAGTTGCACATACACTACATACAAAACAGCAGAAGAATTTACTGTACACAGTTACAGTAAAAAAACAACCAAAAAACAATCTATGCTGCATCATCTCTTCTGTTGCGGTCTGGCCATAGCACCTCATCCACAAGCAATGTTTTCCCTGGCCAAGGGAAATATCGCCTAGCATGGCGATTCCAGCCATGAAAAGCATCAGCTGCTATATCTCCACATGCATCCTCCATAGCTTGGAGAAGAGGTATGTGGGTTTGTGGATTTCGGTCATACACTTTCCATCTCCAGGCAGAAAAATTCCTCAATAGGACTGAGGAATGGAGAATACGGAGGGAGATAAACAACTAAAAAGTGTGGGTGGGCAGTGAACCAGAGCAGCCCTGTAGAAACTTACATTGTTCCAAATGACAACGTACCTGAGCTGCTCTGGGCCATCTACCTGATCTGGTGCAATGAGTGTGTTGTGTAGGGTGTCCAGGAATGTGATCAGATGGGCGGTGTTGTAGGGGCCAAGGGTAGCATGGTGATGGATGATGCTGTGGTGGGTAATCGCTGCACACATTGTGATGTTCCCTCCGCACTGGCCAGGGACTTCAACTATGGCACGCTGGCCGATGACATTCCTTCCCCTCTTTTGTCTTTTTGTGAGGTTGAACCCAACCTCATCAATGAAGATGAATTGGTGCTCCACTGCAGCCACCTCTAGCTCAAGGACTCTGAAACACACATGACAATATCAGAAATAGACATGGAGTGGTCACTATTGTGAAGCACAATCATTATGATTACAATATTGAAATATGTATAATTTACTGTATACAGTGTTGAGAGTATGCATCAATTGTGGGACTCACTTGCACATAGTTATATCGCAATTCTTTGACTCTTTCTGAATTGCGTTCAAATGGCACCCTGTAGACCTACTTCATCCTGAGATGATTTCTGCACAAGACACAGTCCAGTGTTGATAATCTTACCCTATCAATATTTTGAAATATGTCATTGTTTTCTATTATTTTTCTTTGTATTTGCTGTAATGTTATGGCGTTGTTTTCTAGGACCATGTTTATGATTTCAGTTTCCTGTTCAGGAGACTGAAGACGTTCCCGACCACCTTGTGTTGGTAATCTTTCAGTTCTGCCAAACAAATAGTAAAATACTGTAAATACAAAGTAGGTATACATTTCCTAAATACTTGAAACATACTTTACAGTATTTTTACAGTCCTACAGAACAGTCCACAGGCAATACTGTACTACTGTACTCATTGAGTACTGTACTGATATGCAGAACTGCAATTTGCTAGTGAGAGTAGATTTCTTACCTATTCTCATTTCGGAAAGTCCGGATGATGGATGCTACAGTGTACCTGCTCAGATTGGCTGTACTCTTTGCCCAGCCTCCCTCATTGTTAGACCATGGTTGACCACATGATCAACCAAAGTGGCTCGGATCTCATCAGAGATTACGGTCCTTGGCCTTCCTCGTCCCCGTCCTCGTCCTCCCCCACCTCGTCGTCGTCGTCCTCATCCTTGTCCTCCTCTCACTCTCACTCTCACTCTCACTCTCACTCTCACTCTCACTCTCACTCTCACTCTCACTCTCACTCTCACTCCTCTGGCTCTGCCTCTGTTTCCAATGTTGGCATCCATTGCTCCATTGAAGAGCTCACCTGTTGCCATTTTATGCTAAAGCTCTGATTGCTAATTAGAAAACTGTGTGACGGGTGTTTGCCCTTGTGATGAGTCAGTGTGCATATTTGAATGGCAGTGTGTTCCTTGTGAAAACAAGATATTTTCTGCATGAAACTTGTGCCAAAAGCAGAGAATTGTGTGTAGTGTTTTGAAAAAAGTGTGTTTTAGAAATGCAATTTGAGTGTAAAGCAGGAATTGTGCTTGTAGTTTAGCAGAATTGGTTCAGGGGGTTGGTGAATGTGAGTTACATGTTGTGGTCATTGTGTCTCAAGTACCAGAATTTGTGTGTAAACAATTGAGAAAAACTGTAATGCTAATTTTCCAATACTGTATTCTGAAATAACCAAGATTGTTGCAACCTGTTTCGAATTTCTGAAGGTTCAAATTATGGATGCCACTGTAAAGCGACTCAAATGTGGCTGGATTCTCAGTCCAGCTTCTCTCATGGTCAACCTGTCACATGATCAATAAGTGTGGCCCTGATCTCATCAGTGATGGCTCTCCTTCCTTCTCTTCTTTGCCCTCGTCCTCTTCCTCCTTCTCTTCTTCCAACTCTTCTTCCTTGAACTTGTCCTCATTGTCGTCCCCTGCCTCTCCCTCCTACTCCCCTTGCTCTCTGTTCATTGTTGAGATCCATTGTTCAAAACAGGTAATCTGACCTTTGACCTATTTATAGGTCTACTGTATACTAAAGCAGTGATTGGTTAGTGATCAGTTAAGCAGTTAGTGTTTGCACATGTGATGAGTGGCTGTGTGACCTGGTGAATAAGTGTAGCACTTTGATTGGTTGTGTTTGGAAAAGGCAAGCAAGACACTTCCTGTTAGATTTTTGTGTCTTAGGTAGAGAATAGTGTCTAGTGTTTTGAAAAAAGTGTTTTATGCAACTGAAAACCGGGTGAAAGGCTGAGAAATAGCTTTTGGTATGGGAGATTTGAGGTTTTGCTCTTTGAGTGAGAGGTTTCAAAAATCGTGTGACATGAAAAGATTTTGTGTGTAAGCAGTTGTTAAAAACTGTAAGGAGGTGAAATGCAGCTCTGTTGGGTTAAGGTCAGCTGATTGACTTGGCCAGTCTAAAACCTTCCACTTTTCCCCTGATGAAGTCCTTTGTTTTGTTGGCAGTGTGCTTTGGCTCATTGTCCTGCTGCATGATAAACTTCCTCCCCATTAGTTTCAATGCATTTCTCCGTAAATTGGCAGACAAAATGTTTCTGTCCACTTCTGAATTCATTCTGCTGCTACCATTATCAGTTCCATCATCAATAAATATTAATGAGCCTGTTCCAGAAGCAGCCATGCACGCCCAAGCCATGACATTACCTCCACCGTGCTTCACAGATGAGCTTGTATGCTTCGGATCATAAGCAGTTCCCTTCTTTCTCCACACTTTGGCCTTTCCATCACTTTGCTAGAGATTCATCTTGGTCTCATCAGTCCATAAGATTGTGTTCCAGAACTTTTGCGTCTCATCTCTGTACTTCTTTGCAAATCTGGCCTTCCGATTCTTCCTGCTGATGAGTAAGTTCAATGTTTGTCCAATGGCTGTGGTCGATTTTCCTTGACTTGGCTTGCTTTTCTCCCATAGACAGCTCTCTGGTCTTCATGTTGGTTTATCCTCTTTAACAGGAAATGCAGTCTTTATAGGTTTGAACCAAGGATGAAAACTTAGACTAGTCATGCAGATCTATTTAATGTTTGGACAAATAAAAAAAAGGCAACACCTGGGCCCCGTTTCAGAAAGCAGGTTCAACAAACTCTGAGTGTAAACCTGAACTCTCGGTTGACGAACTCTGAGCTGTCAAACTCAGAGTTTCCGGTTTCAGAACAGGTGTTTAAAATTAGTTCAGTCAACTCTGAGTATGTTGAGCCTGATGGAAGCGCGTGCATGGGGATGAAAAAAAGTCTCATCAATGGAGCTCCGATTCGCCATGGTAACGCGTAAATAAAGGCAGAGCCTCCATTTTAATCGGGTGGAGCTAGAAATATGAATGCGTGCCAACGCGGACCATGATGGGCTCTAAAACACAGGAGTGGAGGAGCAATACATTAACAATATTACATTTTATACAGCGTTGCTAATTCATCATTTACCAGACTGGAATTTCCTTAATGACTGATAAAGTGCTGGAATTCTCCTGCAGCCTGTTATTCATTTTAAATAGGCTACAGGCCTGATTATTCAGCTGGAACCTGACGGTGGCAATAACTGAAGATCAAAATATTAATGGAACAGATTAGACACAGTTTAGGCTACTCATGGACCTGTTATTGTAAGTGACAGTCCGACTCAGTAGCCCTATTAATTATGTTTTTGTAATGTAAAATGTGTCAGAATCAGAAATACTTTATTTGTCTAGGTTCAAACTGACTGTGAAGTTTTAGACATCAATGTTACATTAATAAAATCTTAGTATTTTATGAAATGCTGTCAAAACACATTCAGACTATCAGCAGATAATGAAAAACTCATGTATTTGTTTCAGCTGCACCACAGTCATCCCCACGCAGAAATATTCACATCATATCCAGCTGATAACTACGATAGGAATGTTCAATCTGTGCGACTACAATATGAAAGGTTAGTGTTCATTGATCAGTTTTAAACAGATTAGTTTAAACAGTAACCTACACTGCAGCACTGTAGCACACAGTAAGTGTTTTTGTGCAACTGTTGCCAACCTGAAAGCTGCCTTAATGTCCACAGAGTCACTGTGTTTTAAAGTTATAGATTTTATTCTGTGCTGAGAATAAATTTACGATTTCCAAAGAAAACTCTCTGTCCATACATCGATGACAAATTGAGAAAAAACTAACAGCCTATTTAACCGTGATTTCGATGTTTCTAAAGACGTAATTGCGTTCTAATATGTGCTTTGATATCGACAGTATGAATGAGGAAATGTCAGACAGCTGCTTCAGGCTCCGCAGGAGGAGTCAGAGAGAAACTCAACGTTGAATTAAACCTCCTCTCGAGCAGGTTAGACTCACAGCGTAAGTTGCCGGGGTTACAGACCTAGAATTTATCTGATTTCACTCTGTGAAACTGAAAACCCAGAGTTTCCCTTATCTCGGGCTCAACTTACTCTGAGTTTTCACTAAACTCGCTTTCTGAAACAGGGCCCTAGGCAACAAGACACATCTGTCAGTCACATGTTCCAATACTTTAGCTCACTTGAAAAATGGGTGGGTTCAAACAAACGGCGATATGTCCTAAGTTGTTAAACACAGATGTGAATACCAGGAAATAAGAGCTGAAATTCTGAACTGTTGTCTCATACTCATCTTTTGATTTAAATGTCTTCAGTGAACAACAAAAACAAAGGAATTTGCCTTACCGTTCCAATACTTTTGGAGGGGACTGTATGACTGTTTGTGTTTCCAATTGTGTGCTAAGTGAGCTCACCCTGTGCTGATTGAGTGAACAATGATGAATGTCAGTGCTTTCTCAATGACCACATGCACTGTATAAATTATCTAGGTGGTTCAACTTAAAAACTTAAGTTCAATTGCTGCCTTAAAAATGTGAGTAAACTCAACTTTAAGAAAAGCTTTGTTTCAACCCATGATGTTACGTTATACAATTTGTTTAATTAATGATAATTAGTTGTTTGAACTTAATACTGTGAGTTAAAACAACTATCTATATTACATTGTCCATTCAAGGAAACTTGCTTTCACTTCTCTAACAAACATACAATTCTACACCCTTTCAACTCACATTTTTAAGTTCAGATAACTCAACTTGAAGATTGCCTTTGTTTCAACTCATAAATTTAAGGTCATAAAGTAGATATAACTACAGTGTTCTAGTTGTCCCAATGTTAGTTAAATGAACAAGTTTGAGTTATTCTAACTCATAGTTTCAAGTTAAAGCAACTTAACCAAATTAATACTACTTTCCATTTCAAGTTAAGGGATTTAAATTCCAAATTTGTTTTAGTTTACATCTATAAAGGGCCTTGAAGACAGACCACAACAACAGCACCACTGTGCTATTATCTTCAATGACTTGTAACGGGGCAGGGTAGCTTGCTGGTCAAAGTTCAAAATAGCAGCAGATGTCACCTCCTTTCTGAAAGGGCCTTAGGCCGTTGTCTGGAACCCTTTCCACCGGTGGCACTAGTCTTGTTTACCACAGAAGTGTCTATATTTTGGTTGGAATTTGAATACATGACTTATCTGCAGTGTATAATTAGCAGGGGTGAGCAAGAACACCAAATTTTCTGTATCTGTGCTCAGAATGGGCGGGGCTTAATCTATAAGTGGGTGGTATTAACTGGAAGTTATTTAAGCCTGAAATTTCTATCAGAACTTTCTATATTTATTAGAAAATCATTTATAGAACAGCCTCAGAATTGAGCTTCAGAGAATAGTAATTGATTTTTTTATATTCATATATTTATAATACAAAACAGATATTGACACATTTTACTCTGATGATACTCATAGAAAGTAACTGTATCTGTATCTTGCTAAACCCTAATAATTAGTTGATTATGTATATTTTTTTCTCAAACTCAGAAGACGCAGCACCTAGGCAATCCTCATACTCTCAGCCTTTTTTTTCAACTGATAACTTACATACGTAAGTTCAATCAACACGACAAAAGTGTCAAATAGTCAACACAATGAATTAATGCAAGTTTAACTTTCTAAAACTCATACAGTTGAGTTCAAATTCCAAAACTTAGCTGAGCTATTTGAGTTAAAAAGAAGAAGTAAGTTGACATGACTAAATGGGTCTATGATTCTTTTCAGTGTGGTGTAGGCAATGAGAAATGGGATTTGTGTGTAGACTTTAGGGAAATGGGTGTGCTTTTTGAAAAATGGAGTTAAGGTTTAGAAATTATAGTTTAAAAGCCTGCTTACAGTGTTTAAGCAAATGAGAAAAACTATAAACCTGAAAATTTATCTTTTTGTTTTTATAATTTTATGATTTTGGAGACAATTAAAGGTATATAAGAAGAACTCTACATCTCTTATAGGGATGTGAACAGTTAAGTTAGCTGACTAGTTAGTTTAGGGGTGTTAGATTAAAACATGATGATATTTCTCCTCAGGTTAAAAGTTGTCTTGCGAGATTCACGAAATTAACATTTTTTACAGATTTTGCTGGTCCTTTATATGATGCAAGTGTATTAAAGCAAACAACGTGATTGGTCAGTTGCAGTGATGATCCTGGAGTAACATGATGATGTTGTAGGAACAACACCAACACAGCAATGACAAATCATGTATCTCTATGGTGTCTGCCCTCATAAGGCTCATATTACGCAAGGCAAGGCAGTTTATTTGTAGAGCACATTTCAAAATGCTTTACATAAAACAAAAGCAACACAGGGCAATATAAAAAGACATTAAAATCCAATTAAAAAGAGTTAAATAGAAAATTAAAGGGGTAATATGTAGTTTTCAGCTGCCACTAGCGGTGCGGTTTTAAGATTGCAACTAGGTGTGTGCTCGTATACATGCTCGCTTGAACCCATGATCCAGCATAATCCGAAACACAACCACTTTCATGGAGAGATCCCACAATCAATGCAGAAACAAGTCAACTGTGGCTTTTCACACAGATATGTTCAGGCTCTGTTAATTCAACATTCAAGCAAGCCGGTTTATTGGCACAATACTCCCAGAAACAAAGGCAGTGTGACAACAGCTATAGACAGACAGGGAGACGGCTTCATACAACATGCTAGAAACTCAGGTAAACTCCCAATGCAACGTTACCGTAATATTTTTATCAGCTTGAGCTTGAACTTATCCATGCTCGTTACTGCATTAAGCCAACGTGATACATCGTCATTAGCTCGCCTGCTGCTTTTCATTAACTAACATTACTATTTGTGTATCTTTCACCAGAGGCTCAGCAATGTCAACACAGCAAAATATTTTGGATGATACAGATGAGATTGGTGTCACACTTGATATTTTTATACATTTTTATCCTGCCGTTATTTTGCATTATTGTATTATTATATGGGTCACATAAGAGACAGCGACTGAGATGGTGGAGAAGCTGTACCTGAGTATTGGTAAAACGTCAGTAAATCTAAGTTGAACGAAGAAAACAGTTGTAGATCTGTGCTAAAGTAGCTGACTTCTCCTGCCTTGCATCAAGGCTAGTATAAACAAATCGCTCTACATTTGCTTTGTACCGTTTCATCATTTCTTGCAGGCTAAATCAACAATTTGACATAATACCGGTGGTATATAGAAGAGTAATGTGGATCGCATTAGCTGGTGAAGTAATGTGGAAAGCCATAATGTTACATATTATATATTGCACCAGAGAATGTGAGCAACTGCTTGGCATTAGCCAGTGAGCTAACGTGACTCTCTCTGTGACTCCAGGCTTTCTGATATTCACTGTTTTCACCCAACATCCTTTGAATCTCCTTTGGCCTGACAGGCTTCAAAACATAATCCTTTATTGTTGTTTTTTGTCTTTACTCGAGCTGGTTGTTTTATAGTGTTAGTGGACCGCATGTCGTTAGCTGCGGTGTTGTTGCTGTAGTTGGAGAGAGGCTCGGGAGCACGCAGCTACATCCCAACCCAGTGCCTTCACATTAAAGCAGAAGAGTGCCTGTTCCAAGCAACAGAGAAAACAGATGTGTGCTTAATTTCGACAGCCAGTGAGGTTAGAGCCTATTGACAATAAGACAGTAAAAATTTAATTAACAAGTGATTTCACTGAAAAACTACATATAACCCCTTTAAAACAAGATAAACAGGACAGTAAAAGTTTTAGTGCAGTGTAGGATATTAATCAAAAGCCTCAAACTTGAATTTAATAAAAGGCAGTGGCAAACCAAAAAGACTCGATTTAAAAGAACGAGAGTTTCAGCAAACCAGTTAAAGTAGCAGAAGATCAGAAATTTATTTTGGACCTAAATCATTCAGTGTTTTATAAACCAACAGCAGTATTTTAAAATCTGTTCTTTGACAGACAGGAAACCAATCTGAAGACCTCAGAACTGGAGTGATGTGATCCCTTTTGTTGGTTCCTTTTGTGAGGACTCAAGCAGCAGCATTCTGACTCAGCTGCAGCTGCCTGATAGTTTTTTTTTATGGAGCCCTATAAAGACACCGTTACAGTAGTCGAGTTAACTGATAAGATAAATGCATTGACAAATTTTTCAAACAGTAATGCATAAAATAACCGGTTGACGATGAGTGAGTGAGACTGATTTAGTTGGGTCTGGTCTCAAAGCCTCTGTAAAACAAAGCTATACTTTGAGGGAAAAAACTGTAGTGTGCTGAGAGGTAAGATTGTGAACCTTCTTATGTTCCAGTTATGCAGGAATCTCCTCGAGTGGGGGTCCGCTGGTCGATAATCAGCATGAATGGGTTATCATACAAGGATGCTGGTGAATATCGTTGCCAGGCTCGGAACATGGCAGGAATATCTGAAGCTCCAATTAAACTGAAGGTGGTGGGAGTCACAAGAATATCCCGTCTTCCAAAGAAGTCCCAAAAGACTCCACCCAAATCATCATCAAAATACAGAAAGCCTAACCAGAGTACAGTTACCACCGCCCCCTCAGTGAAGGAGAATCAAATACCCCAAAACATCACCCCCCCTTCCATTAACAAGACCCAACCTGCTCCTAACCTTGTGTCCAAAGTGGACCCTGTAGACAAAAGGCGCAAAATGAACTTACGATATGCAAAGAAAAAGACCCCAACATCCCTCAAGTCTACACCTCAGTCCCCTGAAAACTAAAACCCTAAAACTGCTCTGTCATCAGAAACACTTCTGATATTCTGATATATATAAACACTTTGATTGACTTCAACAAGGGGATGGGATTGCAAATAAAACTAAATTGTTTGTTTCAGGCTTTTTCAGGTCCAGTTTCTTGATGAACTATCCTGTAAATTTAACTTGTATGTAAAAATAAAATGTGTTACACATACAAACTTGGATGTAGTATTTGTGATCTAGTTTTCTGAAAGGACATTTAGAAACCTGGAGCTTGGGTTACAGCAAAGCAGACGTGAGGTGATAAAAAATGGGGCGGGGTGTAGGGGGGTAGGGGGGTGGGGGGTACAGTTTTGCAGGAGGGACAAAAAAAATCTAAAAACACTACTACACACTCTAATATTGCACAATCACTGATGGCCATTTTAGACACTAACACAATAAAACAAGCCTAACATTAAACCGCATAACATATATATTAATGTACCTGATCTTTTGCATGTTGTGTATGAATTACTGCATGATTCACTGGACAAAGACTGAGTTGATGGTCTGCTTCTGGATCTGGCTGTAAAAAAACTTGATTTGAACTTGCACTATTACTTGTGTTGCTGATATCTGTAATAGTTGATTTTATATAAATATTTTTATGCATTTTAAAATGAATGGGTTTCAATGGGAACAGAGATTCAACTTTCTTCCAACCTACTTTTCTATCAACAAAGCAACCCCCAAAGAAGTCTGCCTGTATAGCTCACTTGGTTAGAGCGTTGGTTTCCCAAGCAGCTCTTATTAATCAGATGCAGGTCCGAATCCCTCTTCCGGCACAGTGATAACTGCCTGCCTTCACCCGCTTATCTGGGGTCGGGTCGCAGGGGCAACAGCTCCAGCAAGGGACCCCAAACTTCTCTTTCCCGAGCCACATTAACCAGCTCTGACTGGGGGATCCCAAAGCATTCCCAGGCCAGTGTGGAGATAAAATCTCTCCACCTAGTCCTGGGTCTTCCCCGGGGCCTCCTCCCAGCTGGACGTGCCTGGAACGCATCCAGGTGGAATCCTTACCTGATGCTCAAACCACCTCAACTGGCTCCTATCGAAGCAAAGGAGCAGCGGCTCTACTCTGAGCTCCTCGCGGATGGCCGAGCTTCTCACCCTATCTCTAAGGGAGACACCAGCCACCCGCCTGAGGAAACCCATTTCAGCCGCTTGTACCCGCGATCTCGTTCTTTCAGTCATGACCCAGCCTTCATGACCATAGGTGAGGGTAGGAACAAAAATTGACCGGTAGATTGAGAGCTTTGCCTTACGGTGCAGCTCTCTTTTCGTCACCACGGTGCAGTAAAGCGAGTGCCAAACCGCCCCCACTGCTCCGATTCTCTGGCCGATCTCCTGCTCCAGTCTCCCCTCACTCGTGAACAAGAACCCAAGGTACTTGAACTCCTTCACTTGGGGTAAGGACTCATTCCCTACCTGGAGTTGGCACTCCACCGGTTTCCTGCTGAGAACCATGGCCACAGATTAAGAGGTGCTAATCCTCAGCCTTACGGCTGAGAAGTGTGATACTCTTGACACACACTCTCTGGTCCCTCTTTTTGAACAGGGGAACCACCACCCCAGTCTGCCACTCCTTGGGCACTGTACCCGACTTCCACGCAATGTTAAAGAGACGTGTCATCCAAGACAGCCCCTCCACACCCAAAGTTTAAAGCATTTCTGGGCGGATCTCAATCCCTGGGGCTTTGCCACTGGGGAGTTGTTTGACTACTCCAATTGACGAGAATCCCCCATCAGCCTCCCGCTCTGCCTCTACTGGAGGCACTGGAGTCGGATTTAGGAGTTCCTCAAAGTGTTCCTTCCACCGCCCAATTACCTCCCCAGTTGAGGTCAACAGAGTTCCATCTTTACTGTACACAGCTTGGACATTGAATTTTGCCAACTCAGGTTCAATGTCCCCAACCTCCACAGGGATGCCAGAAAAGCTCTAACCGGAGGTTTGAGTTGAAGCTCTGACGGACAGGGGCCTCCTCCAGACGTTCCCAGTTCACCCGCACTACCCGTTTGGGCTTACCGGGTCTGTCCAGGGCCTTCCCCCACCATCTGACCCAACTCCTGCTAACTGCTTTATAAATCTTATTCCAGTCATGGTTCGGAATCCCACCTCCGGCAGTAGTGATAACTGCTTTCAACTTACCTGTTTCGTGTTTTATATAGTTGGTCTTTCCATATGCAACAATTGTTTACATAGAATAAGTTTTTCATGAGATTCGTAGCTTTCTGTGTCTTCATGTTATTTTCCAACACTGGACTAGATGTCACAGAAAATATATGTCCAATCAAAACACTGCTGTGCCCAGCATTTGTGGTCATATATTGCCCTCTCTTGGTACTTTGGAGGCATTACATGGCCATTCAAAACCAGAGCAATGGAGAGAGTTACATGCACTTGCAACCCAGTGTAATTCAATAGCACAGTAGTTAAAAGCTTTCCCTTCAGATTCAAAGGTTCAGGGTTTAAGTCCCAGTCATGGCGTGCTGACTGCAATACTGAACTGAAGAAATATTTTTGCAATTACATTTCATTTTTGACAGCCAAAACATTCTGAAAAACTTACAAAACTTTGCACACGCCAGGCAGGTCAACAACCAACAGGAAGTCGGCCATTTTGGATTTAATTGTCATTTTTGGGGATTTACACACTTTGCACTTTAATGAACTCCTCCTAAAGAATTAGTAGGATGTGTGCGGTAGGCTGCTAACTGCTCCAGATGTTTGTCTCACTTTTCTGCCTGTGGCTTTTGAGAGATGTTCAAAAATACTTTATGTAATGTTTGTTAAGACCAAAAATGCTTTATGTCAGATATCCCTCTTCCAAAGGAGCAAAATGTGACTGTATGTCTGTGTTCCATTGGCAGACACCACTTATGTATGTACAGTGGGTACGGAAAGTATTCAGACCCCTTTAAATTTTTCACTCTTTGTTTCATTGCAGCCATTTTCCAAAAATCAAAAAAGTTCATTTTATTTCTCAGTAATGTACACTCAGCACCCCATCTTGACAGAAAAAAACAGAAATGTAGAAATTTTTGCAAATTTATTAAAAAGAAAAACTGAAATATCACATGGTCATAAGTATTCAGACCCTTTGCCGTGACACTCATATTTAACTCAGGTGCTGTCTATTTCTTCTGATCATCCTTGAGATGGTTCTACACCTTCATTTGAGTCCAGCTGTGTTTGATTATACTGATTGGACTTGATTAGGAAAGCCACACACCTGTCTATATAAGACCTTACAGCTCACAGTGCATGTCAGAGCAAATGAGAATCATGAGGTCAAAGGAACTGCCTGAAGAGCTCAGAGACAGAATTGTGGCAAGGCACAGATCTGGCCAAGGTTACAAAAAAATTTCTGCTGCACTTAAGGTTCCTAAGAGCACAGTGGCCTCCATAATCCTCAAATGGAAGACGTTTGGGACGACCAGAACCCTTCCTAGAGCTGGCCGTCCGGCCAAACTGAGCTATCGGGGGAGAAGAGCCTTGGTGAGAGAGGTAAAGAAGAACCCAAAGGTCACTGTGGCTGAGCTCCAGAGATGCAGTCGGGAGATGGGAGAAAGTTGTAGTAAGTCAACCATCACTGCAGCAATCCACCAGTCGGGGCTTTATGGCAGAGCGGCCCGACGGAAGCCTCTCCTCAGTGCAAGACACATGAAAGCCCGCATGGAGTTTGCTAAAAAACACCTGAAGGACTCCAAGATGGTGATAAATAAGATCCTCTGGTCTGATGAGACCAAGATAGAACTTTTTGGCCTTAATTCTAAGCGGTATGTGTGGAGAAAACCAGGCACTGCTCATCACCTGTCCAATACAGTCTCAACAGTGAAGCATGGTGGTGGCAGCATCATGCTGTGGGGGTGTTTTTCAGCTGCAGGGACAGGACGACTGGTTGCAATCGAGGGAAAGATGAATGCAGCCAAGTACAGGGATATCCTGGACGAAAACCTTTTCCAGAGTGCTCTGGACCTCAGACTGGGCCGAAGGTTTACCTTCCAACAAGACAATGACCCTAAGCACACCGCTAAAATAACGAAGGAGTGGCTTCACAACAACTCCGTGGCTGTTCTTGAATGGCCCAGCCAGGGCCCTGACTTAAACCCAATTGAGCATCTCTGGAGAGACCTGAAAATGGCTGTCCAGCAACGTTTACCATCCAACCTGACAGAACTGGAGAGGATCTGCAAGGAGGAATGGCAGAGGATACCCAAATCCAGATGTGAAAAACTTGTTGCATCTTTCCCAAAACGACTCATGGCTGTATTAGATCAAAAGGGTGCTTCTACTAAATACTGAGCAAAGGGTCTGAATACTTATGACCATGTGATATTTCAGTTTTTCTTTTTTAATAAATTTGCAAATATTTCTACATTTCTGTTTTTTTCTGTCAAGATGGGGTGCTGAGTGTACATTACTGAGAAATAAAATGAACTTTTTTGATTTTTGGAAAATGGCTGCAATGAAACAAAGAGTGAAAAATTTAAAGGGGTCTGAATACTTTCCGTACCCACTGTATGTGGATTCACACAGACCACTACTTGGCTGATATCCGTTAAGTCATCTTGGGCTTGTTTATTGCTGCTGACCAAGACATTGAGTACAGGTTTCCAAGATACTTCAACTCCTTCACCCAGACCCACTCCCAACCTGGCGGACACAGTCAGCGGAGTACCATAACCTCTATTCCATCCATTTTACTGTCAGCTATAAACCATACCAGTGCATAACAAAAACTCACAGAGCCTAGGCACAGCCCACCGAGAACAGAGCTTGCTTCCCCTTGGCCGTGTCATGAGCTTGCATGGAATTTCATTCCACTGCTATGCTGATGACACTCAACTGTACCTCAGGCCCTGCCATCATCCACTCTGACCACCTGCCTGGAGGAGATAAAGGCCCATGCCATTATGTGGTTGCAAAACTTTCTGCAGCCACACAGCTCCAAGACTGAAATCATCTTAGTCAGCACCCCAAACCAGGCCAAGACATTTCACTTTCAACATCAGCCACCAACCTGGGTGTTAGAATGGACTCTCATCTGACCTTTGAGGCTCACATCAAACATCTTTGCAAGACCTCCTTCTTCCACCTTAG